ACTCCCGCAGTAACTCGCGCAGCCGATCGGCCTCTCCCTTAGGTAAGTCCGCCCATGGTACATGTAACGCGTCGAGCAGGGGAACGACCTCGGCTCGGGGAGTCGGGCCGACTCGCCAGGCCAGGTCCTGCTCACCCTCAGGACGACCGGGGTCCTCAGCCCAGAGTGCGAACACCGAGTCGTTAGAGTGGCGTGCGTGCAGGGGGTGTACTGTGGCTATCGGGGTGCGCCGTCGCAGTATCGCGGGGGTATTGTGGGGGTTAAACATCCGCATAAACAATCGGTCCCCATCTGCGTTTACCAACGTGGCGGATCCCACAACCCCATACCGTTTTGCCAACTCCGGGTGAGGAGTTAGCATTACCTCCCCTGATGGTCGGAGCGCGGGGTCGGTGGGGGATGTTGCCACCGGCACCAGCATCTCGGTGAGCGGGCCGATGGTGACTGCCGTCGCCAGGATAGCGACCACAGGTGCAAAGCGGCGGCGCGTTGGTTCTCGTCCCAGGAACGGTATCCGCTCGCCGTTGCTCTCCATGGTGGCGCATCGCTGGCGGGGTTGCACGTTGAGTCCCAACCGTTCTAGGAGGTCGGTGCCTGCGATACACTCGTGACACAACGCACTCGACACGTAGAACTCCTGCGTGCACACCTGGCTGCCTATGCGGACCTCTAGGGTGGCTTTCCCCAGCAGCCCCATTCCGGCTCCGCTCGCAGTGTGCAGCGCGCGGTCCGGGGCCTGCAGGTGACGCACGTCGACCCCGATCGCGCTGCAGTGCGCTGCGCTCACGAGCGAGGCCACCGCCCCCGTGTCCAGCAGGATTCGGGTACGCACTCCGTTTACCTCCCCTTCCACCAGCGACGTGGCCCCCGTGATCCCCGCCACCAGCTCCCGCAGCCAGTCGCCAGGAGTCACCGTTTCTGTGGGCGTTGTTGCTGGAACCTGTGTGGAGATCACTCGCTCGCCATTATTCTCACAGCTTGTTTGTGTCGGGGCTACGTCGATTTCACCCCCCGGTGGTCCCCTCTCTAGGGGGGCCTTAGTGTTTGACCTTAGCTCTTGTCTAGCTCGGGCGACCTGAGGGCAGTCCCTCCTGAGATGCCCTCGCCGATCGCACACATAACACGCCCGGGGAGGGGTGGCGGCTCCGTAGCGGGCTCTCTGCCCACTCCCTCCTCCCCCAGTGCGCTGCTGCTCATATTCTGCTTCTAGAAGCGCTATCCTTCCAGTTAGCCCTCCTACCGTGGAGTCTAGTTCCCCCATCTCGGATCGGATGGTCTCAACGGAGGATTGCAGCTTGGTCATATTCTCACCTACGTGGGTTACCCTTTCACCTACTTGGGTTATCATATCTCCCATGCCGGCCTGTAACCCGGCTACCCACCCCGGGGTCGTCTCGCTGGGTCTCTGGGGCTCCCTTGCCCGTCCCCTTACTGCGATGGCGGGCTCTTCCTCCTCGTCGGAGAGTAGGCTTGCTACGGCGCACTCTCGTCCCCTCCCTCGAGGCTGCGCGCGCTCACCAGAGAGCTTCTCGCATTTGCGCGCGCGCTCGACAAGTGTGTTAAAGGAGAGGCGTGCACCGTCTATATTTGGCTGCCACCACGGGGTGCGTGCCAAATATCGCTGGACCTTCCCGGCGGCGAGGCTCTCAATTACTTTCGCCTCGTGCTCCGGGTACGCGAGCTGGGTCAACATGCGTACGTCCTCGGCGTAATCTCGCAGATCCTCGCCGGGCTGACGGCGGCGTGCCTCTAAGGCCGACTGCGCCTCCTCCTCGTCATAGGCGCCGAAGCGCCGTTCGAGTTCGCACATTAATTTTTCCCACTGAGTTTGTGCGCTTGCGGGCAAAGCTTCCACAAAGTCGGCTGCCCGTCCATCTAAATGTATCTCTAACTGCTGCAACGCCTCCTCATCCGACCACCCATTAACCTTTTTAGCCCCCCTGATGCTGCGGGCAAACGATTTCCATGATGGAATTCCTTTGCCCGTAAATGTGCATTTGATTTTAACCTGGGTTGGGGGGCCTCTTTCCCTTGGGGGTGCGGGGGATCGTCCCGTTTCTGACACCAATATGTGGGGGCCGCTGGCCCCCGGGGTCCCTCCCGCCTGCATCCCCTATTCCGTTTAGGTTACCCCACCTCCCTATTACCCGCTACGGTTTCGCCGGCATTCGAACGCGACGCCCCCACTGTTACAGTCTCGCGCCGCGCTCCCACGCTGCGAGCATACACGCGCACAGCATCATCAATCAAACGCCACACTCCCCCTCTTTACACCGCTACGTACAGCTCTCGTATACTGCGAGCGTGTGCCCGCCTATAGCCCTGTGCGGCACGTTACCAATGCGCATCCGTATCCGACACGTAACGAACGTATGAGCACTCCCACACACACGCCGCTCCGCGCACTCCAACTCCACTCACGTTATGATCGCGCACCTGTATCGCACCCGGGGTGGGCGCACGCACACACACGCAGCTCCCCACGCGACACTCTGCACGACAAGATCACGCGAGACCACGCTTCGCTATTAATGATTTATTATATGCTACCTGCGAATTGATGTCAAATCAGTGAGTCGACGAGGCTGGCCTACGCTGATACCTCTATACCTATTCCCGATTTATCTGCTACGATACCCTACTTTACCTCCCCACTCACTGTTTGGTGCCCGCGGAGGTTCGCTGCTCTCTGCGCTAACAGCGTACCTCGATGCGTCGCACGGACGTCCGGGTCGCTGGCTGGAACTCCTGCTGGTCCGCTGGCCTGGAGAGAAGCGGCGATTTCCCCTCTCCGCTCTTCTATTTATCCTCCCTACCTCAAAGGGGATGCTGCGCTGAACAATGGGCTCGTGCACCCCAAGCCCGTGCACGGCGGTTCCCCGGGCGCTGTTGATATGCTAATCAGTGAGCGACGTTGGCGGCGTACATCCTAATTACTCCCTTACCCTTCCTAACAATGGGGCCTGCGCGCTCCAGCGCAATTATCCCAACCCCCCATGACTATGCGCAACAGCCCCTGTGACCCCGCTATTCATGCTGTCCCGTGCCTCCCCTGCTTGCCCCGTCGACCCGTGGGAGTGTGTGTGGGGGGGGAAAATGCGCCTCAACCGCGGTGGCCGAATGCCCCACGCCGCGACCACACAATATTAAGGCCGGCCGCGGCGCCGCGGTGCCACGTAGCACGGGGGGGTCATCCAATTCCCTGATCGCCGGAAACCGTGAGAATTAATCCCGATAAGGGTCTCTCGGATAAAAACCGGTCGATCAGGTGACCTTCCCTTCCAGCTCTATGGGGGGGGGAAATGCGTGCGGGTGTGTGCTTATGTGGGGCGGGTGATGGGGGGCAGTGCGGTGGGGGAAGCCGGGCGGCTCCCTGGTTCGGCAGAGCGGCCCCGTCGTTGTGGCACCACACTTATCGGAGGTACGGCGGAAGGACAACAAAATTAAAACACAAAAACCATCGGTCATTTCTCGTATCCATCGCCTCAGCCTACGTCTCCACCGACCCTGTACATTTTCTTTGATTTAGATCGTCGCACATTTTAGGAGCGCATCTCCGACGTTAACCGGGGTATTGCTGTATTTGTGGTTGGGCGGTCTTGTCAGATGTAGAAGAAAAAAAACTTTAGTCTTGACTAAAAAAATTAATGCAAATAATATTTGAGTCACTCAGCCAATTGGCCTGCTCGACCAGTGTTTTGCAGAAACGTTTGTTTGAGCAGTAAACGCTGGACGAATGTTGACTTGTATTGCCTTATCAGCAGGGACCGTCCTGTTAAACAAATGTTGATGGGTAGCATGTTGTTATTGGCAAGAGCCATTACGAATACGGGAACTGTTAAATGCAGTGCAGCAGCACCTTACAAAATGTATTGGTGAGTCTCTATGCCCATTTGTACGGTACATATACAAGCCTTTGTCAATCCACTGCTGGATGAGGGCCTCTCCAAGCTTGAGGGTTGTGTGGGTTTTTGACCATACAACGTTGTGAGAAAAAATTCCATCTTTAATTTACTGTTTTAAAAACAACATTGTAAATGATCACACTGGGGCTTTAAAAAAATTATAGACTTTACAGTAACGTCATTTGCTGTGTTTTAATATGAAGGGACAATTACATTCAATAAAGAATGGAAGTGGATTTATAATTTTTGTGATTCATAATTTTTATTTCTATTATAATTTCTATTATTTTAATGTTCATTATTTTCATTTATTTATTTTTACCTACGTGACTTTACCGAAAAAACCTAAGAGAATAGAAGTGGACTGGAGTTTGGGATTATGTAGCATTTTTCATTTCTAAAATACTCTATTAAAGAAACATTCTCATCACCATACAAAATACAATCTTAAAAAAAAAACACGTAAATCACATTAAAAAATATACCCCAGCAAGTGTCTTCGGTTTACAGTCTAAAAAAAAAAAGCCCTCTTTAAATGTTAACTCAGAAGCCTCTAGACACTGGAGGTAAAACCCTCCGACCTGGCAAGATGGAAAACTTAACACGGGGAAAGACGTGTCCTTTATGACGTCACGTCTTTCGAAGGCATTGATAAATGTTCCGTGACGTCAGGCGAAGGGGGGGGGCATCTGCGGGGGTGGGTGGGTAAGGTGGGGGGGAGGGGGCGTGGCTTATTCGTACTGTAACTTAAATGGGCGGAGCCAGTAGAGGGGAGGGGGGAGGATTTAATTGGGCGGGGGTTTACCCCCCCCCCCTGCCCCCGTTCTGTGGGTGTTTCTCAGTGGGCGGGGCCACGGGTGGGAGCGGGGGGGGGCTATGGGCGGGGCTTACTCCCACTGTGTGAGAGGGGAGGGAGGGGGGGGCCACCCCCACAAGAGGTGGTGGCTTGGGCGCCTAGAAACGGCGCTCGCGTTCGCGCGCTCCCATTGGTCAGCGAGGGCTGCAGCGCTCGGGTCGCCTGGAGACGGCGGGGCAGGAAGCGGGGCCGTGATTGGTCGGCGGGCGCCGCTTCCGGGTGAAATAGGCACGGGGAGAGGCGCGGCGAGAGGAGTCAGACGGAGTGAGGCGCTCGCCTGGGCAGTAGCAGCAGCAGGAGGCAGCAGCAGCAGTAGTAGTAGCAGTAGACAGACAGGCGATACAGCCGCGTCCGCATGCCCTTGAGTCGCGTCCTACACTCGACGCGCTTGTAGTTGACGAAGGGAGTGAGGGGGACGAGCAGTGAGAGAGAAGCGTTCACGTGGATCGGCCGCTCTCCTAACAGGAAGCATTGACTCGTGTTGATGCTGCTGCTGCTGTTGTAACGCAGGCAGGGCAAGGTGATCTTTAAACGAGGGGGCGGGTGGGTTGGCTTGAGCGAACGACTACAGCCCCTGCTGCTGCTGCTGTGACGAAGCGCAAAGAGGCTGGCTGTAGTGAAGGCAGGCGAGGAGGCACAGAGTGTAGCAGCCATCGCCCCCCCCGACTCGTCGCCGTCTGCCTCCACCCCACCCCGGCCCCGACACCCGTGAATGTCACCCTAGATGGGGGATTTCTCGTTCGGCCTGCAGCAGAGTCACACACACAGCCTGACAGCGGCAGTAGTAGGCACAACAGTGGCAGTCGCGTTGGCACCAGAGCACAAGCAACAACAACAGCAGCAGCAGCCGTCGTCGTCGTCATCGTCGTCGCCGCCTTCGCCTCCCTCTCCTCTTTCGCCAAGCGCCGCTTTGTTTTTGCCTGCCGCCGGTCCCACGCCGCACGCCATGCAGGATGAGCTCCTGATGGACAGAGCGACCCTAGCACAGCAGCACGAGCAGGGCTCGCCCGAGGTCCCAGAGTCATCCGCAGCAGCAGCAGTGACAGTCGTAGGAGCAGAGGACGGCATAGCAGGTAGCAACAGCAGCAGCGGAGGCATCGGCAACAACAACAACAGCAGCAGTAGCAGCAACAGCAGCAACAACAGCGGAGCTGCCGTCTCTGCTGTGAACAGAGACACCGTCCCCAACAACATAGTGGGCGGCAGCAGCAGCAGCAGCAGCAACAACAGCATCAACAACAGCATCAGGGAGCCGTGCCCACCCGTGCACATGGAGTCGCCGATTCTCCCCAGCCTGGCCGGCTTCCAGGAGCCGGCGTCCGCCCTCTCTCCGGGCTTCAACAACGCGTGGTCCACGGGCGTGAGCAGCCCGGCCGCCGCCCTCGGGGCAGCGGCAGGGGCAGCAGCAGGGGCAGCAGCAGGGGCAGCGGCAGACGAGGGCATCTTCCCGGGCCTCTCGTCCATGAACGGCGCCGTGCTCTTCCAGAACTTCCCTCCCAGCATGAGCCCCATGTTCGGCGCCAGCTTCTCGCCGCAGCTGCCGCTGGCCCCTCACCACCACCACCATCATCAGCAGCAGCAGCAACAGCAGCAGCCGCAGCAGCACCATCAGCAGCAGCAGCAGCACCATCAGCAGCAGCCACCGCCACCGCCGCAACAGCAGCAGCAGCAGCAGAGGAGGTCCCCCGTGTCTCTCCAGAGCCAGTTTCCCCAGCGCAACGCAGGCTATGGGCACCACCAGCCCATCATGACGAGCAAGCCGTCCGCCTGGGGCAACCACCACCACCATCATCACCACCAGCAGCAGCAGCAGCCGCAGCCCCAGCCGTGGGGTGGCTCTGCCGGCTGGGGTGGCCCACAGAGCCGGGCAGGGGCCGGTGTGGGTGGCGTGGGTGGCGGCGGCGGCGGCGGAGGAGACCCGCGAAGGGCTGGTGGTCTCGGTATCCCGACGCCCATGAACCCCATCTCGCCCCTCAAGAAGCAGCAGCAGCAGCAGCAACAGCAGCACTTCCCAGGCAACAGCGCCATCGGGCCGCCCAAGTACAGCCGCTCGCCCGTGCCCACCCCCAAGTCGTGGCTGGAGGAGACTGCGTACCGCGGGGACGCCACCAGCCTGCTGGCTTTCCAGGTACCCGCCGGGTGGGGTGGCTGCGGGGAACATGGCAGATTTCGTGGTGACCCGGCGTTGGGGAGCGTACATGGGTGGCTTTAGTGACAGTGTGCCGGATGATTTGTGCTCATTTGATTGACTAGGGATATGTCCTCGAGCCTAGGCATAATTGGCACCGTCAATTGTGCTGGGCGAGACGGATTTATTTTTTTAGGTCATTACACACACGCGGCGAGGACATTGTCAGAGCCTGAATTCTCCAGTGGGATGGTCAGGCTTGGGGGAGATTGTGTTAAAAGGGTTTTTTTTTTCCACGGATGGTTGGTGGGGGTGGGGGCGATCAGCTGCCTTTCTGCCCATCACACTGGGGAAGTCACAAGGGTTCTGTATTTGGGGGTCCCTTGGGAGGTCAGTGGCTGACTTCACTGGTAAAGCAAATGATAGACAAATTGGACGTCGGGAGATCCAGTTTGTACGCGACTGAAGCGAGCTCTTTATTCGTGTCCAGATCAGTGTCCTATTCGGAAGCTGATCGACCTTGCTGTGGACTTAAGAGGCCCAAGCGGGTTAGGGTTCAGGTGAGGGGGCTAGCCCTTCCCCTAACGCCAGCCGCAATCCAATTCGTCATCCTCTTAATCGAGAAAGGCAGTGCAAGAAAGGGCAGGGTTGTCTTCTTGGAGTGAAATGGCCTCGAATAGGGAAATCCACTTCCATCATTGCACGGCGAAGCCTGTTATGCAATCGCCTGCACGATCCACGTCACACGCTTGGCTAATTAGGTAGGGAAATGTGAGCGCCCAGGCAATGGCAGCGGATCTGCTTTAGGTTCTCTGCCACGTCTGACACGACGAGGAGGTTGGGAGTGGTTTAGCGGCTGACGTTATGCTAAATCATTGCTCGGCAAGTGACACGTCAAGGAGTGGTTGGTATAATGTCCCACGTCTTGACGCACTCGCTGCCCGCTATGATCATTTGGTGGGCATACATTATTGGGGGGGGGGGGGAGGCAGCTGCCTGTCTGCCTGTTGCCCAACACATACTGCCACACAGACTGCAGACAGGCAAAGGGGGGGGGGGGGTGCACGCATTGTCAATTAAGACTGTGGATGGGGGGGGGGTAGAGAAAATTGTTGATATAAAAAGGTGCGCGTCTCTGTAAGCCGCCAGTTGCCACCCGCATCTTCCATTTTTAAATGGCTCCGCTCCCCACCCACTCCGGCTCGCTTTCGTGACATTCCTCGTGCGTGTGTGGGGTGTGTGTGTACCCGCTGAGCCAAAATAGCAACACAAAAACAACAATCTTGACGTCTAAAGGTATGCGCGTGTGTGTGTGTGTGTGGCCTTGCGACAAATCCATCCTGTTGTCGAAACGAGCTGTGCGCCCAGAAAGCACGCATTTGAGGTAGGCGCGAGGTTGCTGCTTCTGCCATCGAAGGTGGACTTGGGACCATGGCGCACTCGTGTCGCGATAGTCGGGATGTAGATGTTGTTGGCTTTCGCTACTTACCCCCCCTTTAATGTTGACTGTGCCATGAATTCTATTGGCGGATCGCCCTGGCATTCCACAAGCGGCGCCCCATCAAATCCACGCTCCGTGCGCGGCGCGTGATGGTTTAAAGGGCAGCGCAGATGCGTTTTCTGCCATCTTGTGCCGAATAAAATAGGTGATGGGTAAACACCCCCAGTTAAATACGACATCTACACATGTGTACACGCAAGTACGTAATGTGCCACGTGTGCTGTATGTGTATATAATCGTCGAGCGGGAAATAGTCCTGAAGTAGAAAGTCCCGATTGGTGGTGGTATTGGATCGGTTAAACAAGAGCCGGTAACACTTCAAACCCAAAAATGGAAAGAAGTTAATGGAGCGGGCAGAAACGAAGGGCGAGAGAATGAGCTGACAGATGCTTCCCCAGAAAATTAACATGGAATAATGCATGCCGATTAAATTCATAATTCATAGCGTTTGCAATGCACTACAATGCAGCGACGCAGGTGTGCCCTTTACTTGTCATTGAGTGCTATTGCCAAACCATTGCAAGCCGTGTCTTGGTGTTTCGTTTTGCCTCTAGGAAGTGGCTGTAAATGAACTGTCACCGATTCCCGTGCACATGCTGGCATAATAATCTTGGTTCTTTCGGTAAAGTCACGTCGATAGAAAATAAAAAAATAAAAATTCCAAATAAATGCAAATGACTTTACCGAAAGAAGCAAGAATATGAATTATTGCAGTCACGAAAGTTTTCAGTCTAAATTTTTATATCCTGTAAATAACTTATACCCCACTTAAAGCATTGAATCACAATTAACCCGACTTCCTTTTGTATTATGAATGTATTTCCTGTTTAGAGAAATACGAGTGAGGAAGGTGTTCGTGTAGTTTATGGAAACAGTATTCAAATTCAACTTAACCACCACTATTTACCAAAGATTAACAGCTGCCGACTTACAACGAACACGTTGACAACTTCTGATCAACCGTTTTCTTTCTATTACTTCAAAAACATTGCGTGCGCTATAACCCATCATTAACCACTCCCAGGTCGTCCTATTGATAGACTGACTGATCCTCGGCATGATAATGTGGAATTTCCACCATAGGCTCGAAGCCACCAAACCGACATGAGCGCACCACTCCAGGACTTGTTTAAGGATGGTGACACAGCCCTGGCTTGTGACAGTCATGATGGAAGGAAACTAATAATGCGTTAGCTGTCCGTATTTTTATTGTTACGAAAATACATTGGGGGGTGGGCGGGCGGGGTGAAGCGATGGTACAGTGGTTAGCATGGTGGACTATGGACCCAGCGAGTTCGATTGCCAGCAACGACTAACATCAGTAATATCTGAACCGGCCCTGCCGTCCGTCCCCCTTCACCAACCCGCACTCTCCAGCATGTGCGAGTATGGTAAAAGCACCCCCTATGACATGCATGGCGCAGGGAGGTGTTCAACCATCATTAAGTGACACATTGTTATTATTAGTATCTTTCCATTATTGCAGCATTTTGTACTATATATTAAATATCATTTACATGCCTTGGCAAGGCACGGTTGTATGAAGGCCTCCATGTGTTGGCAATATTTTGAGCATATTTAACCACGCAGGGAAGTGGGGGTTGGTGATGGGTTTGTAGGGGGGGGGGGGGAGTCCAGAACTGGTTCGGATATCACTCGCAGCTGACATAACTGGCTGTTGCTGAGAATCGAGCTAATCGCTGTGTCGTGCAATGTGTCTCCCACTGCACAACCGCTCCTCCCCATATGGCTCGGGAATTGGGTTTCACAGTCTTGAATGAGACATGAACCTGCACCCACCCACACGCCCGGGCCATTTAAATGCATTCAGAGTGCCTCGACCGGTGGTCATTGACCCAGAGGCGTTTTGGGTTATCGGTACAGTTCCAGTGAGCTCATCTGCATGCAATTGCTGATCCCGTGCCTCTGAACATCCTAATTGTATGCGAGCGTTACTCTCCAGTTCTGGGCTGTTGAATAACATCGGCACTGCTGTGAGAACATGTCTTTCATACTGGAGAGTTGTTTGTATAAATTAATACATTAAGTGTTACGGTAGTCTCTAACTCGAAATGCAGTCACGTCACACCGGCACAATTAAGGTACCATTTTAGAGAGCCTTATTGGCAATGGTCCTTTTAAATATTGTTTTTAGGATTTTCGTTTCAAACAACTTATGAATTGTACAGACATTTGCGGTAAATGCAACGTATTTGAATGGCCCTTTTTCTATACTGGTGCTCGAATGGTCAAGTGTAAACACTGGATTGTGTACTATTGCAAATAAGCAGAACATTTTAAGTGAAACCAAGCCACTAATTAGGTGAACAGTTGTGTCGGGGATGGCGCCTCAAGGGAGTGGTGATGCGAATACCAAAATTGTGCATGCATTATCCGTAGGGTTTTGTACTCTGATAATGAGTTGCTGTTAGGGCCACAACCCAATTAGTTTAAATCAGCCCATCCAATTCTGTAAGTTCTATGGCTACAAAGACAACAGGGTGCTGCGTGTGGTTTATCTGTCGCTCCAGACATTGTTGAAATCTGCTGCAGGTTTTTGAATCGTATAATCAAACGAGTTTAAATACAGTAATGTAGTCGGTGCAGTAATTTAAAAAGAAATCATGTATGCAAATTTACAAAATACACATTGTTATTTGCACAGGTAGTTTTAGTAACGATGGAAATACTTACATTGTATACATTCACACAACTTAAGTATACATCAAATGCTTAGTGGAATTAAACATGTTAGCCGCGTAGAAAATGGAATGGTTATTTCAGCACATTTGCCATCGAGATGCTGGCTTTTTTCAGGAATAGATTGAACAAGACTTTTGAGCAGATGGCAACCCAGTTACGGAAGGGACCACTGTTTATTAGTTTTGGGAGGGGAGTTTGGAAAGGGATAGGGGTCCCAATTGGCTGAAATCTGGGTTGCGCCTCGACTGCAGAAGCTAAAACGAGGCCGCAATTCGCCGTGATGTTAGGCAGGGGATGAGCAAGTCAGCTTTGGCAAAATTAGGACACCTGCATTATAATGCTGTCGTCATGTAATCACCTTGGACGCTGCAAATTAAATTGGAGGACGGTGAAAACCGAGAGCATTTGGTTGCGTGATTTGGGTTTGTGTGGAGTGTTTGGTGTGTGATTTGTACAATTATTGCAGCTTCGAAAAGAAAAAAAATTGCTGTCTAACATGTACGAACAGAAAAGCGCTCGATTGACTCGAGTTGATGAGCATGACATTTTCGGGTGATGTAATGGCTATTGTTATTGTTGCCTGTCCCATTTCCTATTGTCTGTCGGGACCAATGCTAAATTAAGGCTCATAAACCACCTTAACTCGCCAATTTCTGTTTACACAATAGTCAAATTTGTTTGTGAAACAGAATCTATGTTTTTACAGTTTTCCAGACGCAAGCACTAACAGTATTTCTCTCATTCACTGCCCTTTATGTTTGACCTTGCCTCGCTTTCTGAATAATTTTTCATCTTAGCTGCCAAGTGTAAAAAAACAAAACAAAGATGTCACTTACAGCCAAAGTTTCATTTTATACTTTGGTTGCCGATTGGAGGAGACAAACTTGCATTGCTAAATTTACCCAGCAGCACCCGAGCTTTGACAAAAGGCCACCGTTGAGCAGCGTTTGCGAGTCTGTATTTCTGTATATGGACCGTGAAGGACACAATGAGACTCCGGCTATTTGCAGCAGATAGCTAAAGGATTTCTTATATTCCTAGCTCACAATTGGTTGGGTGCAGTCACTGACTATTTTGTTGTAATGTAGTGTTTTTTTTACTCATTTGGTGATGGGGTTGCAATTTATTTCGGCCACCGTCAATGCTCGCTTCAGGCTGTTTTGGCCGCACATCTTATTCGCTTGCCCAATTCCAATATAAAGTGAGGAGATCATTAGTGCCGGTGTGTTATTCGTTATGGTTCTCTGAGTAATGTCTGGCTCTGCTTTATTTACAGTTGGCAGAGTTAACAGACATCAGCCGTTCTGCTTTTGTTTTCGTTCTGATAATATCCCAGCTGTTTGCTTAGTGTGTGCCATGTTGACTGATAATTAGCGGAATGGAGATTTTTTTAAATAATAAAATAATTAGCCATCGGCCCATTACAGCAACTTTAGATTACATCTGAACAAGTCAGGACATAATAGCAGCAATCGCATGACGCCATTTAACGCTGCTGTTGTTGAAAGTCTGGTTTTAAAATCGGTGTGGTTGCTAATTGTATGGCGTGATGCCCTAGAGTCTGTGCTCGCTTTCAAGAGTGTTCGTACAATCAGTTCATACAATGTCTGATGCGTGTTGCTTCGGGGCAGAACAATGCGACGATGCGAGGATTAATCAATGAATACAAATTCTTAAGCTAACTTATGCATGCGTGTAAGAGTCGCTTTTTTCCCCAATTCATCTTCTTTGGATGGAGTGGGTGTGTGGCACCCCTGCAGCCGCTAGAGGTGCTACAGTTGACTACAATATTTATTAGTTAATCAAATCCTCATGGAGCTGGGGTGTAGCGGGATTAATTGTTTCACCTTTAGTACAATAGCCATCTTATTGCATTAAAATACTCCTGGCAAACCCGTGTTTAATGCTGTAAAATACGCCTTTTCTATTAGTCCGGATATCATTGTCTATAATAGTTAGTTGGTGTTATGCTCAAATAGCTCATTTACCTTCAATGATTATGACATGGAGCAGTACATAATGTGTATACACCCCAAGTGTTGGGCGTATACACAATGTGTGTGTACGTCTGTGGTAATCTGATGGTGAGACTGGCTCTTGCCATGAAAATGGATTGCTAATGCTAATGAGGATTCTCTCCACTGAGACACATCTGCTGTAACTTGGCTGTTACAATATATGTATAACACTTGCTATCTAGTATCTGACTGATAACATCAACTCACTACACGTGAGAAAACCAGTTTTAATAATGGACAGCTCAAAGCCATTATTCACACCCACAATCATAGCATTGCCCGCTCGACACTGAGCTCGGAGCCACCTGGTCACCTCCTTCCTGCCTTGGGCATGTGCTCCGTGACATAGCTGGCAAGTGTTCAGGCGGCATAACTGCTGCGCTAGACCCCACTGGCTAGAGTGACCCAGCCGTCGTGCTACGAGAAGGGGAATTTGAACAGAGGGGACGGCCCATTTAATTTGGTGCACCAGGGCCCTCATGCCGACCAACGCGACACCAGAGCGTACGTTTTTAAACTGGCGTGGTTTTTCCTGCCGTGCCGTGTGCAGGACCGTGGCCGTCCTTTCGACCCGCTGAGCATGCAGGCCTTGGAGACCTCGCTGCTGGACATCATGCGCAGCGAGCACGACCCCCTCAAGGGGACGCCGCCGCCAGCCAACGGCGCCGCGCTCACCGCTGCCGCCGCTGCCGATATGGTCTGGAGGAGCCAGTTTGCCGGTGAGGTCACGGCGAATGATTATTACACGCAGCTTCAGCCCCTCTGTCCCACGCACATGTCTGTGTGTGCGTCCTTTGTCTTTGGGGAGCCGGTAAGTGTAGAAGTTATCGCGCTGCATGATGGACCCCCGCAACCCGAGTTCCTTTCCTGGCCACCGCCAACATCGGTTGTGATTATCTGAACCAGTTCTGGACCTCCACGAGGATGACTCTGCCTTAATTGATGGCCTGGTGCAGGTGTATAGACATCAACACTGAAGAAACAAAGGCAACCGAGCGTGTTTTTGGCTGCACCACACCGTCGTGCGACGTGCTAGCCTTATTGCTCGTCAACAGCACTTTCCACAACAACCTCTGTAGGCTACACAGGAAATAATCTTTTTTTTGTCCTTTTATGTGGAGAGTGGTGGCACAGTGGTATCGCACTTTGCTACAAACCCGACAACCCGAGTTCGATTCCTGTAAACATCAGCACTGATGAGACAAAAGTGGTCAGGAGTGGTTCTGGCTACTATTCCCCTGGTTTAACCTATCGGTTGTAGTAGGTGCTCGCGACCAGCATTCATGCCAGTAGCCTGCATTACTTGATGCTGGGGAAACATGCCCTCCTGTGCGAGCCTAGTAGGTGGTTGCCAACATCACTTTCCTCTTCTGTTCTGTAATGTTAAACAGTAATCTCTGTCTATCTCTCAACACACCGGTGTGCTGAAGTAATAACTAATTGGCACTTTTTTTCTTTACTTAACAATTTTTACTTATTGGCTGTGTCGAGTGCTGGTGGGTTTAACAACACATTTATATTTACGTGATCTAACACAAAAAACCTTTATGAATATTATCTGCCTAGCAGTGGCGTGGTATTTTGTCCACTGCACTGTTCTCTGGGTCCAGGGTTCGATTCCTTGCCACGTGCAACCCCAGTGGCAACTGATATCTTTTCCTGACCTGTGTCTCCTCTGAAATGAGAACATTGTCCTGTACGTGTTCAAAATCAACAAAACAGTTACAAAGGTGGCTATGCGTGGTGCAGGCTATACCGTTCCTCCAAGTATTGTGCCAGCTTGTATAGGTACAAACTATAACTGCTCTTGCTAGTAGTAGTTGCAGTCTATACGGTTAAACGGGGAATATTTGCCACTTATGTTTTTAATTATGTACGGAATTACATCGGTGATGCTTGATATGTCCAGTACATTTGGCACATTGATTTCCAGATTTAAAACTTTTATACTTAAAATGTAAACACGGAGGACAAACATTTCAATTTGGATATGTTTATAATTCCTTGCTAATGACATTCGGTGTATGGCAGCTTTAATGTTTAATAAGTATCAAATACCAAAGTACGCAACACACATACGCTTTTGCAGGGGGGCTATATATGTGCTCTTGTGAAAATAGTTGGCTGAAAAAAAAATCTTGATTGACATTTTTTGCAGACAGCCCTAAAAGTTTTCTTGTCCCCCCCTCCAGCCCACAGATCCCCATGGGGTAGATGGAAAACGGCAGACGTCTTGCTCTTAATAAAGCACATCGTTGTGATCTCTTAAGTTGTTCCTGACCTCGGGCAGGCCAGAGCAGATGAAAAACACGGCCATGGCAATGCTTCGTGCATTTTAAAAGGGCCCCCCCATCTTAGCTGTGCAAATTGTGAGAAAGTATAATCGGCCCACTGTGCTATGTTATTGTCAGAAAGGGGAATTTTTTGAACACGAGTGCTGTAGTGCCAGCCTTTACCGCAAATTATACACAAATTATACTGAGGATCGGGGCTGGTGGGGACAGAGGGGGGGGGGGCTTTCCAGTAATTTGGTCAGAGGCCGAGCTGTGGGAAAGACTACAGGGTGTGCGGACCTGCCTGCCGCAGTGGTCGGTGATGTGGGTGCTTAAGAGACAGCTCGGGATGTCTGTGAAGCCATGGAGGTGTCGTATGTCACTATATTTATAGAGTCAATCGGGAAGTGTATTTTCCCAAGAAACGAAGGTTCCTGTGATATTTGAAAGAACTTAAGTCGTGGGTATAAATAAATTCCCAAAACTAAATACAAATCCCGCGTTCTCCCAGTTGAGAACTTTCCAGAATTAAATGGGGGTTGTTGTTTTTTCAAATGTCCATTTCATTTAATAGTGTGAAAATTGAGGCCAGCTTGACTTGTGAAAAAAATGTCATTCCACTGCTATTAAGAACGCAAAAGAGCCCAACATCCAGCTACAGAATGTATGGCAAATGTGGCATACTTAGTAAATTTAGACACAGATCCAGTAGCAGTAACCTAATAATTAAATGTCGCTCTACTCTGCTCGTTTGTGGCTCAGTTGCCGGTGACTTGGGTCCTTTTTTTAAACCTTCTAGTTCTGCCAGATGCCTGCTCATGCTGGATATGCTGAGATTTGTGAAAACAGAGTAAACAGACCCCTTCAGATGCCCTTTCCACAAACCGGCTTGTTTTTAATAAAAGTAAATAAAAGCAAAAAAAACCCTCAAAGATGAAGTAAACATTTAGGGGATTTATGATGCACACAGAGGGTGGCCAGTGTAAGCCCCGATGTAATATGATGTTGGTTGCAAAGGCGGATCTTTATTTAAAATCAACAGAAGAATTGTTGGAATGTTGTTCTGTTTTGGCATCAGTATTCCACCGTGTTACAAAACAAGGCTTCATAAAACATACAACCTCCCAATGTCAAATAAGTCAACGTAGTTAAAAATAATGTACTTTTATTTATCTGTCACTTTGTTTGTCAATACCTTAATTAAAAGCCTTTGATGCCCTCTGTTACAACAACAACCCCACTTGTTTTTGAATGCTTGTCCCTCGGTACTTGTAAGAATCGTATCTCCAGCCACTTGTTTGCCTATTTGCCTTCAACCCAAGCCTTTGTCTTAGAAAAGAAAAAACATCTGATACATTTATATTAGCTGTACAAATATTTCACCAAGCAGGAGCTGCCGTTTGGTATGTGTGCAATGTGCAAGCCACTGGCATTTTTGTAAAGGGCTTTAACTCGAACACTTGTGGCAAAGTACAACTTCCAACAGTCGAGAAAGCGTAACATTGTTGCATTCTCTGTGGCCTCGTGACTTGATCAGCCTATGCCTGGTGCCCCTGTCTCGCCAATAATAATTATCAGTTATGCTTTGTCCAAATGAGACCAAAAACAAGTTGTGTTTTGAAGACCCATGAGCTGAGCCATCACTACCTTGTGATGGTCGTGTGACTCGCCAACCAAGCGCTTTATTAATTCACCCTCTGGGTGGCACGGCTTGGCATGCCCAAGGTCTTGGCTTCATTTAATCAGCCGAGCGGAAAGTGACTGCCTTTGTTGCCCTGCATGCTTTTGCTCTCCAAGCAGAGAGATCCGCAGAATGCTTCCCCCCCCCCTCCCAAATACGCCACCCATTTTTTTTGTTCGTCTCATCTGGAGCTCGTTGGTAACGCAAGTATGGATGATGGTGTTGCCAAGTTTAACGTTCGCTCAAAGTTGCTCTGTTTTAATAATTATTGATATTGGCTGCCAACCATCCCCAAAAGCACTGACCTCAGTCAAATGGTTGCGAATGCAACTCTGCTGGCAAGCCGAGCCCGATAGATGCGATGTGTGCATCTCCAAGAAATGTATCGATGTCGGTGTTGGATGAGCATCAATAAAGCGTCGCTGTACGGTACGTACGTTTAAAATTGGCGTAAAAGGACGCGGTGTCATCCAATGTATATATGTACCGTATGACGTTATTAAAGTCACCAAGGGCTTGGCTGAATATAAATGAGCGTCTCGTGGTGCTTGTCACTGTCGGTGGCCTGTGCCAGCGATGGAAATTCCACAATCCGATGACAGGACCTAGTCTATCCATTGGATTGTATATGAGACTTAAATAAAATCTGCATAGGTCAATAACAGTGAATTGAATACATGCGATTTCATGCTACTGTACATGTAAGAAAATTAACAAAGTGATTTGAGGAAAGTTTTTTTACTAAAACCAATTCCCCTTTTATTTCCCTTGCCACTTGTACAAACACACACACTTTATGTCTGGGTCAGTGGAACTAAAGGGCTCAATCTTGCTGACAACAAATAGAAGCGCCAACTTTGTTCCTACAATGTCTTTATGCGACGCAGTATTTGCCATGTATTAACACAAACCTGTACATGTGTCAAGCTTGGTGGAGCGTTAGCATTAGCGGTTGGCACACTGGGCTTTAAACCCAGTGACCTGAGGTTCATTCGTGGCCACGGCTAACCTTGGTGGGGATTTTTTTTATAAAACCAATCTTGGGCATGCCCCCCCGGTTCACCGACGAGTACTGAGAAGTGTGAAGTATGGTCAGAAAACAGCCCCATTACCAACACATACTTGCCAACCCATACAGTTTACTCGTATTCTTGTATAGGGAAATTGGGTTTTTAGGTCCATATGGTGTACAGACTCTTCAATACGGGCAAAAAAACTAATTTTAGTTTTTGTTTGTGTTTCTCCCTTGTGGTGGGACTTTGTAGGATGAACGTTGATATTTATAAGGCCACGGGGTGACCAATCAGGTCTGAATTGGTCTGTAATAAGGTAGGGCACTGATAAGGGGTTGACAGGTATGCCAACACTGCAAGAAATACCTCCAATAGGTAAACCTTGGAGAGATTTTTTAAGCTATGCGCAAGGCCAGATTAGTTTTATTCTGTGTTTATGAATTGCATTTGCTTTGAAGTTGTAGGCAAGTATGCTGACATGGCAGTTATTTTTTGCGTGAACAAAGTTAAGCATTATTGAGTTTCAAGATTCCTGCTTTGGAATTGTATTATTTAGTCAAATATTTTCGAGAACGTTTGTATTGACATATTTACACGTGCCAAATTACTCGTCAATGTTATTGGCCAAATCTCCGAATGCATGATCCTCCTGGAAAAAAAATCTCTCCTTCCAGACGAGGGGCTTTCTGGGTAAATAAAGGACATTAATCTTAATTATAATGATCTTGCAGCACTGTCAAATATTACACAAT